CTGTGAATCAGCAAAACAAGAGCTTTTGGAGACAATGAAGAATTTTTTTATCTCTCTTCTGATGTAGAGACCTTCATGCACTATAACATAAGCCACTGGGAGCTCTGCCAAAGGCTCTGAGAGCCATGCAGCAATTGTCCCATTTTCAGCTACCAAGGCAGGAAAAAGGGGAAGAGGGAGTTATTGCACTTGTTCTCTAAGAGAAAAACTAATATCACTCTTCAAGAACACACATCAGCAACTTGCTTATTTGCAGCACTTTAAAGCCACAGTAGTTTCTACATCTGCCTTGGAGAGAAGATGGCTCTTGTACGTGAAACAGTTAATTCTCAGAGCACAGCATAAGATGAATATAGAGCCTGAGTTGCCTATAGCCTACTAAAAAAATAGAACAAAACAAACACACCCGCACAAAGCCAAACAGGGATGAAAGCAAAATGACCTTACTACAGTCCTTCTGGTGGTAAAAAAAAAAAAAAAACAAACCAAAAAAACAAACAAACACAGCATCAACCCAACACGTATTTGTTGTTCTCCAAAGAGTAACACAGACTGAACACTCCCTGGGCTGTTAGCGCCTTATCCCTCAGTGGCTTTAAAGAACAGTTTTGTTGGCTCCTAGAAGATGCTAAACTGAATATAGTACATCTCCTTGTTGCTTTGGAGGTACTGCCATTTTCATTACAAACACAGCCTTTCAACTGCTTTGCCATAATATACCAGAAATGGTCTCCTGAAGATTTGGGGACAAGAAAAAAATTAACATCAACATAGCCTCCCTTTTATTGTCAGCTTCCTTCATGCACAAGCATCCAGTTGAAACACTTATTCTCTCACCTCATGTCCTGGACTGTCAAGCAAATTGTATTCTATTTGCCATCTGTATGGCACTGTTAAGTGGGCAGTTTTTCCTTATCTCTTCCACAACCAATCCTTCCTCCCGGGTGACATCTGCTGATAACAGGCTATTGAAGGTCACTGCATGGCTGATGAGAACTACAGCATCCCATTGTGAGATGCTCCACCCAGAGGGAAGAGCCAAGCATTCCTAACTGGATATAACCTTGAGATTCTGGAACACCAGCACGACTTCTCCACTGGATTTCCCAGAGGAGCAGCTGCCTCTTCCACTGGATCTTCAGAGGAAGACTACAGCTTTCTACAGAATCCCTGCTCCAACAGAACCACACCTGACACTGCAGGAGGGCTGCAGCCACAATTCCAATTGGACTGCTACCAACACCCTGACCCACAAGGTGTCAGGTCGCATTCTGATTCTACAGGGTTGTTTTGGTCTACTGCATTGTTTATTTTATCCTTTTATTTTCTTCCCTAATAAAGAACTGTTATTTCTGCTCCCAAAATTTTGCCTGAGAGCCCCTTAATTTCAAATTTATAACAATTTGGAAGGAGGGGCTTTACATTTTCCATTTCAGGGGAGGCTCCTGCCTTCCATAGCAGACACCTGTCTTTGCAAATTAAGACACCTGAAAACCCTTCTCACCCTTTCCAATCCCTGCACCACATTCTACAGCTCAAACCCCTGCCATGAGCACATTCCCATGTTTTGTGAACACATATGTAGCATAACAAAAGTGAGCCCACAGGAACAGCATGGAACAATGTGTGAATAAATATAGACTTGCTCACATTTTCTTGGCTTTCTTCTGCAATAATACACTTCAATTTCTGAGAGCATCAATGATGCTGGTCTTGTTTTTTAGAAAACACAACTATGGATCAGGTTTTGCCCTCAAGACCAGGGTCAAAGTGTGACAAGGTAAATGCCTAATAGTGACTCAGTCGTATCACTACATCAGCATCTTCCATAAAGACAGTTACTCGTGCTCAAAGTTGTCAGACATACCTTTCCTCTGGTTCTCTCTTGCTCTCTCAGCTCATATAGAGACTTATTTTGTCTAATTAGATCAACATTTATCTCCTGACAGGCAAGAGCTGACAATACTACAATCATCTTTCCCTCTATCCCTGTTTAACCAGAGATAGTTGAGAGGAAGTGATTGCAGCAAAGACAAGTCCTATTTCCCCAGCTCATACTGCCATAGGCAATCAATTTGGAGCAAAGGTTCCATCTTGAAAATGTCAAACAGAATGAAAAAAAGATAAAATCAAAACTGGTAAAGTCAGCTCCAACCATTCCTCTAGGACCAGCTTCTCTCTCAGGTTCTTGCAGCATAGCTAGAGTAGAGGAGGATTATCTGCTTTGTGTGCTCAGTGGTGCCATGGGGTCCTCAGCCTCAAATTAATTGTCCCAGCACCCACTCCTGCAATTCAAGAGAAACTGCTGGAGCATCAGTCCTGTCCACCAAAAAACGCAATTTGCAGTCCATGGAAGCTCTCTCTCCTCTAATCCCTAGCCCACTGAACACGCAAAACAATGGCTTTCTTTCACAGGAACCATAGTCGGCTGTCCACACACAAGCAGAAGAAAATACATGACTCAAATACAAATACAGCAAATGGTAACAGTGGCTTCAGCCTGGAAGAGGCGTTTTTGTTTACTAGGGTGACCAAATCATCTGCTTTCACTTTTCCAGTTCCTCTGAAGTTCTCCAAGATGCCATTTTGCCCCTGTGTTTCTTCAAGAAATACTTTTTCCCCCCCTATCTCATGCTACAGATCTGAAAAATAATCCATAGCAAGAAAAAGAAGATAGCCAGGCCTGGGCCCTACCTCTTTTGTTGTTTGTCACAACAGTCACTGATATGAACAGGAAAATATTCAGAAGAAAATAATGGCCAGGTTGACTTGGAAATATCAGACTGATCAGTGTTGAGATGAAGTAGCTGTGTCCTGGATGAAACTAGTCCAGAGGCATAGAGCAGGATCAGCTGCTAAGGCAGGGGCTAAAATCACAGGGACTTGCTGAAGAGACTTATCCTACTTGGTCTACTGCAATGTAAAGGGAGAAAAATCCCGTCAACCAAACCACAATTTAAGAGATTGGTATTGGCTTTGTCTTTTAAAACAGGTTACTGTTTCTACACCAGAAATAGTCATATAGATTCAGTTCATTCTTAAATGCAGTGACCTCCAGAACCACCAGTGGGATTACACCATATATCAAAGCACTCTGTTGCACCAACTGCTCAGGAGAAGAGAGCTTCAGCAAAATATTTCTCTACTCTTCTGCCTTCAGATAGGTAGATGCAGACATCAGTTCTATCTACATCTCTCTACACTTATCTCACTCCTGAAACTGGCAAGAAAATTTGGGTCAGAAATATGAGGTACACTCAATGTACCCTCTACAGGGAAGAGACAAGCAGCCTCACCCTGAGAGTGCTTCAGATCACACCAGAAACATAAATATATAAGCAGTGTCTAGATTGCACCTTTGGAGACTGACAAATGCCCTACCAACACTCAAAGCTCAGGAACTTGCTGATCCTACCAAAGGGTGCACACAGCCTTAGATGACCAAGTGTATAACTCTTTATTTGAGCCATTGCTGAGATAAAGATGAATTTTAGAAAATAATTTTTGAACAGTGATATTCCCAGCAAATAGTTGCAGATAAGTCATTGTTACTCAACACATACACAAAGCAAAACCACACATACACAAAGCATAAACCAAAGCCCCTTGCTACTGCCCTATGAGCGCAAACAGAAGATGTCTTGTGTGGTGGGTGCATTTTTTTTTTTTTTTTTGCCCATAGAAGAGCACTTTTACGTTTTATGTCAACATGAAACTAACACCAGCAGAGAAGACAGGTGGTAGGAGAAAACCTGAAGTGAATTGAACCTTCTGATCTTCTGATTTCAGGGACAAATTGGCATAACACAGGATTTTGCAAGACCAGTCTCTTACAACCTGCAGAGAGGCATAAGTTCAATTATTCCTTTTTTGTCATATCACAATAAAAATAGGTATTTATCCACATGGACACATTTAAAAAAAAAAAAAAAAAACTCAACAGGCATTTAGCAAGACTCTCTAGAATGTTCTTAACTCTTAACCAGAGTGTACGAGGAAGGCCTACAAGCATCACTGAATCTCACCCATGCAGGGAAAAAAATTATAGCATTGCACCTTCTCCTCCTCTGAACTTAAAAGGACCCTCCCAAAGCAAGAATGACACAGAGAAGGAGTGAAATATACTGAAAGTCATAGGAACACCAGAGGTCTGGCACAACTCTCAAAGTGACAGTGTAGAAGCTCACTATCACCTCTCAAAGTTCTCAGTCAGAACCAGTACTGCCTCAACCACTGCCACCTTCAAGGAGATTTAACTGCTTCCACCAAAACAGAGTTGCTCAGGATATTCATCAGTCCCCACGACTATGTAGTAACAAGAACAGTAGTTTCCTTCCTTGTGAAATTCTACCTCATGCATTTTCTCAGTGAAAACACTTTTCCATCTCCAAGATGAGAAAGAGACAAGATTTAAGGTCAGCCAATACATCCCAAGGCAATTCCATCCCTGTCAGATCTTGTCACTTCAGCAAGCATTACAAGTTGGTGACCACTGGCTACAATTATCACTGAGGGCTAAGCTCCTTCCTTGTGCCTTAAAGGGTGCAGCAATTCTCTTTCAAGATCTTCAAAGGAGAGCGATGCCACACTCACACAGGAGCTGCTGGCAGTGGGACATATTCTACAATAAAAGCCAGCAATGAATTCTCCTGGAAGCAGGAAACTCAGCAGCAATGGCATGAGAATGTGCTCACGTACAGAGCATTCCACTGAATTAAAAAATAGGGCATTGATTTTGTTATTCATTTTTGTATTTAACTCAGTATTAATCTCTGCATACAAATGCCTTTTCCCCACTGCTGCATTCTCATGCCTCAGCAGAATTTCCAGTCAGCAGCAGAAACAGAGATGTAGGTCCCAAGAACAAATCGATCTGTCTGCTACACGACAAACTGGATGTGAGATGAGGGCTCTGAGCAGGCTGCCACTCAAAGCCTCTGCTCTCATTTACCAGGGAGCCTGCACACGAGGAGAAGGTGAAGAAAGGCAGCAACACTTACGCAAGGCGTGCCACTCATCCTGGCGGATTGTCTTGGTGATGTTGTACGTAAGGTTCTTGGGGATGGTGGCTGAGGAGTAGTGGTACTTGATGTACGAGCACCGCTCAATTGCTCCTGCGAAAGGCAAAATGCAGAAAATGTGGTTAAACAAATGTAACATGTCCTGCCAGCTACAGGCCAGAGGGGTTTGACAACCAAAAGCAAAGCCTAGGAGCAAAGCAATCCCTACCATCCCTGCCCACTATGACAACCAGCACACTCTCCAGCCCATGACATGTAAGCTCAGATCCAAACTTATGATATGGGAAGTTTATCTTTCACATATTCTGGGGAGCTTCCAGACTGGAGTAGCTGCCAGTGCCTGCTTTCACCATGAGATATCTGTGTGGCAAATTCTTCCCTGAGCTGTGAGCTAGCAACTGCCATGCAGTTAATGTATAGAAGCTACAAACTCATGTCTTAGCTTTCTGTGCTATCATGGTCATGACTCAATGCCCATACCTCAGGAAATACACAAAGCAAACACCTTTGATCCTCCCTTAAATAAAAAGCAACACAGAAAAATTATACATATAGGTAGTGAACAATTTCCTAACCCTTTCCACCCTTCAGCAGGGGGACACCACACTGTCCCTTGAAGGTACCTAGACACTCTTACAGCAGGTTCAGAGACGGAATTCATTGGCATCTCTGAACAGTGAGGCTCAGATAGCAATATCAGTGGTTGAAATGGGCAATTTTTTTCCCCTGCTATTTTCTGGATTTCACCTATGCTCCATAGAAAAAAAACACCATGTGCTGCTTCTGATGTCCTCTGGTCACATCATTAGATCTCCTTTTACAAATACTTTCCTTTCTGTACAATAATTGCCCCTCCAGGATCAGATCTCCTGGCATCTCTCTGCATAGTTAGTATCCTTAGAAGAAAGAGTCTGGTGTAGTCTGACGCTTTCCATGAATTATAGCCTAGCCAAATTTCACATCTGATCAGACACCTGTAACTGTGTAACTGTTCTTGTATTGATGAAAGTCAGTCAGGTTTCCTACATTGCTTTTGCCAGCATTCTCTGCTAACACTGGCTTATTAGACCCTCTCACTGAGCTGTCAGAGTCAAAGATCATGGAAGTCATTTTCCCACTAACATTATGTTATTTTGGCTCAGGCCTTTGATACCTAAATAGGTATCCTTAATGTGGTTGGCCACGCTGTTTGTTACTAGCTACCACTAGTCAGAGAAGCAGCAGCTATGCTGGAAATGCTTTTATGTATTAAAAATACATTAAGACAAGCACTCAATAGAATAAATTAAATGAAGCAATGAATTATATAAATAATAAAGAGCGCTATACACAAGGAGGCATGTAGAGGACTCTTACTGCCAGCCTGAACTGAAAAGGCAGACCCATTAGCCTTATATCGACAGTTCCACAGGGTAAAAAATGCTTTTAAACCACTGCAAACGCAGGTTTCTACTAAGGGTTGTAAGATACTATCTGGCATGAACTTAGATTATAGACCATGAATTCACAGCATGAAGAAAACCCATGAAACAAGTTATTAATTACATCACAGCCTACCAGCATCTTCCAGAGTTAGTGCAGTATAAACATTTGAGGTCCTCATTGTTTGCTTCTTGTGAGTATTCTTCACATTCTGCCTTTGACAGCAATTAGATTAGACAAAGCCAAATATTATAGGGGGAAAAGGCAAAATATTTACATATGTATCCGCCTGCCCTGACAGCGTGATGGGCTTCTGTGTGAGTCTGCACCATCTGGGCACCAAATGTACGCCCAGAATTAAAGTTTCAAACTAAGAATAGTATTTAAATAAAAAGACAGCTAGTGTGCAAAGAGCTTTTAAAAAATCCCCAAATCGCAACCTTGCCTTCTTATAGGTTTTCCTATTCCCTTTTGCTAGGTTGGTTTTATAGATTAGAAGTATCAGCAAGAAAATAACAAATGCTTATTTGTCAGAAATTAATCTTTAAGTTATCAGATACCTGCCCAAACAAGAGATTTATATAGAGTAGTAGAAAGAGACACAGAACCAAGATACAAAATAAAAACTTAGAGAAGGAAGGGAGAACAACTCCTGTTCTATTTGCAGCTTTTCTAGAACCAAAAAGGCTAATTTCTAGTAAGGTCCATCAGATTTCTAATTCTGCAAAGACTTCTGGTGGTAATGCAGCAAGCTGGTCAATATCACTTTTATCACCAAAGCCTAAAGCAGAAAGAGATTATTGGCTGAATTCAGGTCATCACTTGACCATATCCATAATTTGGGGCTTATACTTCCTTCCCCATGGCTCTAATGAGACTTCAACACACAAAAACAGCTTTGGGACCACTATCAACCAGGGTGGGCAAACAGGACATTGTACAGCACTTGGCATGGCAGATCAGAGGGCACTGAAGCGCTGCCAGCTCCACCAGGGAGCAATGGTGTCCACTCAGCAGGAGTAGGCAGTACCTTACTGAGAAACTCAAGATTTTCATGGTCCAAAATGACAATGCTTCTGATTGCTTGGCATTTAAACATGAACCATTTATTTAAACCCGCTCTCACAGTGTAGGAGAATGACCCTTCTGAGTCAATGCAACTACACCAGCATATATGAAACTAGAAGTGACAATCAGCTTTTGAACTTAAGAAAAAGGCCTTCAATTGCCTGGACCTGGAAATAAAAATTAGGAGAAGGGCAAGTTTATAAGCAGTGATGATTTCATACTTCTGATGTTTTCCTAGTTGTTCCACACAGAAGAGAACAATGTTCAAGATGCCCAAAGATCCAAGTCCTGGAGGTCCCTATGAGAGCAAAATCAGCAAGAGCAGCAAGAATCAGAATTACTGCTCTGCTGGAAAGCCTTCTCAGAAAAATGCTACAAAACCTTTATCTTCAGAAGAATTACTAGCTATGCTCAATCCAGTCTCTGGAATAGGAAGAAAAGCAAGCTTTCCCCTCCATACCTCAATAGGGTAACTGCAATTAATTTATGGAGCATTTTCAGCCTCCAGCACAAACTTAGACCAAATGCAACTGCAGCTTTGCTCCAATAACTGGGAACAGTATTTATAGAGCAAAGCAGTGAGTGGGGGTTTTTTTAGCTGGGAGCCACCATAGCAAGAGTTATAGATGCCACAAGAAACACAAAAACCACCACAAAGCTGCTCCAGAGACAGAGGCAGTGTATCCTATATTTCTCTGACCAAAGGGAAATGCTTGCTGAAAATCCTAAAGAAAAGTAGCTGATATTTTCCAATAGAGTGCTAAGAAAAGGATCAGCAGAAGGATGCAACTAGAACCATGCAGAGCAGACCTCTGCCACGCCATCATCACAAGCACAGATGCTCAGGGGATTCAGCAGCTGTTAACTGTGGCTGGCAACCCCCTGTTCCTGCAATGGTCAGATGACAAATTGGAGATAAGGAAACTCGAGATAGCTTCATCCTGAGCAGCTAAGTATTCACAGCATCAAACATGCACCTCCTCTTATTGACTCGCTCAGCTGCTCAGCTTCCTTCTCATATCTGCTCATCATTGCTCCTACTATCACCTTAGCACATTAGACTTCCTCTTCTCTCCATTATGAGAAAAACTTTTAACCTAGGCCGCTGGAGAAATACCACCTGAAAACACTGACATTTTTCTATTCGATTTTCAGAACTTTACCAACTAACATCCTGATGTTAGCTCAGCTACCACTGCATCACTGGAGTTGTAAACACCATCCCAGTAGAGGCCTCAAACTGTTTTGTAATGCAGGGAATGACTGGACCATTATCCTACTCTTAACAGAAGAAGATTGAGATCAATTAAGATCCTAGTCTGATGTCCAGGTTGTATTTGTCTGGTAGGTCAACACAAAATTTTTCAGAACTTTTAGACCAGTATTTCTTCACCACTGTGCCCCCACCACTCCCTTAAATATGATATTTAAACTCTTTCAAACTGCTCCAAGCAACAGTTTTTACCATGGTTAATTTAAAAAATAGAACAGAAATTCAAAATGCCACCAGGGTATTGGTTATTTCTGTTGGAAATGGTGGATCTCAGAAGCACCCAGAGGCATTTGCCCTGGTCAATTTGACTTCTGCAAAGGTGGTTGCTGAGTTTCATGAATTTACAGTGTCAGTGTGATCATGGTTTAGTATTATGCATAATACAGACCATGCCATCTAAGAGCTGGTAAAAGAAAGCAGTCCTTGACATGGCCTTTCATCAAACTGGTAACCTGTGAGAGCAGTTGGGTGACAGCAATATCACTTCAGATTAAGGCCAAGATGGCACAGATTTATTTGCATGGGTTATCTGAGAATTCCATTCCTGTCTTGAGGATTTGAATATTTCTCACTTCCCCCCTGCCTCAGCTCTCAGGGCTGCAGATTGTGGGACCATCCTTAAAGGTTCAAGTACAGATTAACCCAATGCCAATGTGAATAAGTTACCTTCAGTAGCTAGAGGACTTCCAGATAGAGATAAAAATTTCTCCCACACTAAGATTCTTTGCCGCAGTCCCTGGGTTAGAGCAATCAGGAAACTGAGATGCAGGGAGCCAGCAGCTCACTCACACTCTCTGGATGAGCTATGGTATAGCCATTCCAGACTGCACAAATTAGGACTGAGAATCATCTTGCATTCTGTAACATGCAGAGATCTGAACCAGGGGGTACCCATTCTTCTCTTATTGTATGCTAATTGTTTCTAAGAAGGATCCAGCTGTAAAACTAGTATTTGTTTTACTACATTTCCTGTCAAAGCTTTTGATATTATGAGCTTCCCTGAAAAGACTGGTGTGAATATTCTGAGCCTTTGCTGCCCCCAGGCAGCTTTTCCTTCTCCTGTGTTGCAGATACCCCTGGATGAACTGTTTTGAAGCACAAAATTCAACAAAATGCACCCTTTGTTCTAGTTCTAATTTTCACAAATCTATTTGAGAATTACTACACAAACATATCCTAGCAAAAGAAATCTTAGCCTCTGGCTTGCAAACTGCTCTCACTACATATATTTGCTCTTAACTTTGAGAAACTGCATTCAGTATGAGAGATTGCCTTAATTCCATGGTTTGGTTACTGGTCCCTCATTGGGTGACTATCTCCATAAAAAACA